GGGCCAGGAGCCCCGGTGCGGCTCCGGGAGCCCCGAGGCGCAGTCGGTGCCGGTGCCGGTACAGGAGCCTGTCTCATGGCCAGCGCTGGTGCTGGCCCAGGAGTCCCGGTGCGGCTCCGGGAGCCCCGAGGCACCACTAAACCCCATCCTGAGAGTCCCCAAACCAGGCCAGCAGCCCCGTACACAGCCAGTCCCCGTGGCCATTCAGGAGTCCTGCTGCTTCTCCGGGAACGCTGGGCTAGCCCCAGTGCCGGGTCGGTAGCCCCGGTGCTGCTACAGGAGTCCCAACAGCGGGCTAACTCCAATGCTAATGTGGGAGCCCAACAGCATGGCCAGCCCCAGGGCTGAGCCAGGAGTCCTGATGCTGCTCAGGAGCCCTGGGCAGGCAGCGAGCCCCGGTGCTGGTCCAGGAACCCCAGTGCTGGTCCCCAGTGCTGGTCCGGGGACCCCAACGATGAGCCCTAGTGCCACCCCCACTGGCCTGGTGCAGGGTGGGCTACTGGGGAGCCCCAGCTGAGCTGGGTCTGTGCGAGTGCGTTCCCCACAGCCCCAGAGTCACCCACAGAGCCCCAGAGCCCACAGAGAACGCCCTGCCCCATGGGCCAGCCCCACACCACGTCCCCACGACCCCTCTGTCCCATATGTCATCAGGGTTCCTTGGGGGGGTGCATCCTGCAGCCAGTGTCTGGTCATGAGTGGGGTGTGGGGGGGACGCCAGAGGGAACCCCTCTTCCCCTGCAAGCCCAGCTGAGTGCGGCTTGTATCTGCCCTAAATATACCAGCTCCAGGAAAGCTGCATTTATCTGCGCTGGGGCTTTGGGCTCCGCAGCCAGCAGAGGAAGCTCTCGCTGTTGCATAGTATTTCCCCACCCTGATCCTCTCCGCACCTTGCTGAGAGCAAAGCCTTGGCCTCTGGGTTGGGATCCGGCTCAGTGGGGGGGCCCGGCAGGGCTCAGGTATGCTCCTTTCATCTGTGCCCTAACACAAAACTGTCCTGCCAACGTGCTGTGCTCCCCCCAAACCCTGCGGAAACGATGCCGCTTTGAGCAGCTCCGGCGCGGACACGGCAGGTCGCCGCCACGAGCGCGTTTTGGCTGTTATTTCGCTTTTGTAACAGGAACTTCGTAAAGGAAATATGGTACACGGCAAACTCCAGAGCCGGGCGAGCTGTGGTTTGTGACAGCACTTCCATTTCCGACGGCCCGCTCCTATTCCTCGCTTCGGTTTCTTCCATTACGCAGCTCGAAGGCTTCTTCAGCGCCTTGGCGAGGACGTGTTGCCACCTTGCCGGTGGCAGGTCACCCGCAGCCCCAGCCCTCCCCGTTCCCATCCCCAAAGCAATGGGTGTGACAGAGGGGAAGGGCTTTTAGCCAGCTCCCCGCCTAACCCTGCATGCAAAAAAACGCGAAAACACACATCCCAGGACCTCTTTTAACCCCCAGCACCGCTTTTAAGCCCCGCTCCCAGCCCTGAAGACCCGGCAGAGCACCGAAGCTTGCGGACACATTTGATGGTGGGGACATTCCTGTCGGCTTCCCGAGGGGACCCTGACATGTTCAGACCCTCTGTGAAGCTCACAAAAATCAGGTCAAAAAATGGAGCTGAGGCCACATGCTGGCCTGGTCCATCCAAGCAGCTTACGGAGGCTGCAGCCTGCTTGTCTGGAGACCTTTTCCAAGCAGAAGGCACCCCGTAGGGTGGTTGCTCCAAGGCTTTTCCCAGCCTCCCGCTCCTCTCTGGTGTTGCGTGTCACAGCTCAGGAAGGGGTTTTGGCATCTTCTGGAGCTCATTTTCCTGGCAGCTAATGGAGACTTAAATACCCATTTGGGGCTTCAGGCTTCTCAACCGACAGTCGCCTCTGATGGGATATTTTTGCAATAAAAGGAGAATTGCTGGGCTTTTCTTTTTTTTTTTTTTTTTCCTCCCCCTTTGGAGCTCAAAACCAGGAACATGCTACTTGGTACAATCTGTCCCTGTCTTGGGAAGTGTGTTTGCTTTCTTCCTTTTGCTTCCGTGTTTATCTCGGGTGTCTTGCCTCTAACGAGGACCATATGTAATTGTTTTCCCTAAGAGAAGATTTCCCGAGTTGGCCCACTTGGAGAAAAAGCTTTGGGCTTATAGGAAAGTTGGATGAATTTCATGTAAACCCTGAAGCCGAGAGGACTCAACCTCTGGCATTTGCTGCCTATGGTTGGGGAGGGCGCTGGGATCCTGCTCCATCCCTGGTGGGTTTTCAAGGGCCGCTTCGGCACTGCGGGCAGTGAGGAGACCCTTTTAAACCAAAAACCCCTCTGACTTGTGTTTAGCAAAGCCAGACATCATTTTTCTTCCGAAGCCTACACAGCCCCATCCCTTATCTCGTGCACTGGTCCTGCCAGCAGCCCCAGTCGCCACCCTGGAAAGGCAGAGCTGAGCACCAGCGTGGCAGGTCCATGTTTTGGTGCCTCGGCTTGTTGTCCTGTGCAAGCACCCGGGTTTAAAAAAAATAAAAATTAAAAAAAAAATAAAATCAAACCTCTCACCCACTGGTTGTGTCGTACAGCCCCGCAGGCTGAGCACCCTGACTCGGGTGCTTGGCAGCCCCGGCGCTGCTGCCTGCCCAGGCACGCGCCTTCCTGCTTCCAGAATGGCTGAGAAATGCAGGCAGACAATAATAATAATAAAAAAATAATAAAAAAACACCAACACCCACAACAAAAGGACTTTCTGCAAGAACTAAATGATTTGCTGGGAAATGAGCTTGTGCAAAGTTGTGCCTGGATTTTACGAGCTGAGAAAAAATTAAAAAAAAATAATAAAAAAAACAAACCCAAACACCAAAACAAGCAAAAAACCTGACTGTGCTCGATTTATGTGCAGGAAAGGAGCAGGACGAAGGGTTGGGTGATGCTGGTGACACCGTGAGCGTGGGACAGGGCAGCCGGCGGTGCTGGAGGGCAGCGGGCACGGTGCAGCATCTCCCAAAAAAGCAGCCTTGAGGCGAGCAGCGTCTCTTTATTGCCTCCATTAAGCATTAGGTCCGTCCCTCTGAGGATCAATCCGGCGCGGAGGGGCCCGTGGGGAATGACTGAGCATCGCGAGGAGCCTGGGAGGAGGGTGCAATCTCGGAGGGGGGGGAACCTTGCACAGCAGCTCTCACCTCTTCAGCATTCGGCCCGAGAGCCCGGAGCCTCTGAGCTTTTTCGATTCCTGTTTAGTCACATTTAGAACTGAACGGTGCGGTCGCGGGGATTTTTTTTTTTATTATTATTTTAATTTTTATTTTACTTTAGTCCTGTCTTCATTTTCTGCCAAGCTCAGTAATCGGAAGGGGCTCTTGAGCTTTGATGTAACTCCTGCAGCCCCAAACCACATGTGTTGGGACATGAAAAAGGGGGTTGCCCAAGGGAGCGACTTGGGGTGGAGAGTGGCAGCCCCCTCCTCGCAGCGGCTGTGCCCAGCGTGCTCAGGCTGCCTCAGAGCCCAGTCCTGGCTGGGGACGTGCTGCCATCTCTGGAGAGGACCACGATATGGCAGTCCCAGGCCCCAGGAACACGCCGAGGAGTGATTTATCCGCTCTGAGGGCAGCCTGGCCTTCAGCCTCGTTGGCTGGAGCTGGAGCTTGGCTCGCTCGGAGGCAGCAGTGGCCGGCTGGAGACTCCAAGTCTGCTCCCAGAGCAGGTAGGACACCAGTAAGGGCAGAACCCCGATTAAAAGCGTTACCGCAGTCAGATGAGCACATCAAGGTCGCTGGGATGTGCACGGGCCCAGCCAGGGAGTGAGGATGATGCAAGGTCAGGGGGGTCAGCCCAGCAGCCTGCAACGCTCTGCCGCGCTCGGTTGGCTCCATCATTTCTTTCCTCAGATGATAAACTCAGGGCTGGGTCAGACACCGTGGTGTGTGCATCATCGCAGGGCTCGGATGCAGTCTGTATTCATGTACTTTAATAAAGAAGCTGCATGATTTTTAATTTAATTGCTGCTTTCCAAGGAGCATGGTTGCCCTGGGCTCTAGATACACATATCGTGGGGCAGGGACCTCTCCTGGGAGGCTCCCCAGGAGTGAATCCTCGTTGGGGTCACGGGCAGACGATGGTCTGACCCAGCCTGGACACACAGCTCACGCTCCCAGCCTGGCCGTGCCTGCTCCGTCTGTCCGGAGCCGTGCGTGGATCCGTACAGTGGAGGAGACCCCAGCCTTGGCGGGGGGACAACAGCAAGATTTTGCAGAGCCATTATCTCACCTGGCCTTCATCCTGCCGTGGCGAAACAGGTCTGGTGAAAGCCACAGCACAGGCCCGGTGCTGTTGACTCTGCAGTCCCACGTGAGCCATTTCCAAGTCAATAAAACGCCAGTAACATGAAACCAATACGCAGACCAACCCTCATTTCATTTCTTTCGCCTTAGAAAACCATGACGAGAGGCACCGAGCAGGGAGCCTGTAGGTCCCCCCAGTACATCCCCAAACACAGATCTGCCCTTTCCTCCAGCCAGCAGAGCCTGGCTGGTCAAACAGCCGGAGCCAACCCAACCAGAGACCTCCAAAAAGCCCCAAGACAGATTTGCGTGAGTTTCTTCCTTCAAAAACAGGCTCCACTTGACACCAAGGGTAAATATCGCGTGAGAACTGGCAGGAACACGACTGCACCTTGCAAGGCTTAGCTAAATAGAGGGAGAGAGGCATTTGCCCTGTCTTCTCCAAGGACACTAAGCAGATGGGGACTTCAGTTATCATAATTTTTTTGGCCTAAATGGTCACTTGAGGCAAGTATTAAATCCAGTTAATACATGTGGTTGAGGGGAAATGGGTCTTTCATTAAAATGATTGTTTGCTTGCATGTTTGTGCCGTGAGGTTATACATCTCAGGCTCTGCTTTCTCTCAATTACTGCTCTTATTAGAGCTCAGGATCATCATAAATACTGAATTAAAATAATTACAACAGGACAGGTAGCCGCCTGAGCAA